CTGCCAAGCGTTCCTTTGATCCGGCTTATCGGCAGTAGCTGGATGCGGATACGGTTCTTCCCGTTCACCGATGTTCAATGCTGGAATTTAGAAATGTTCATTCATTATTGGAAAACCGGCCCAGTGTGGAGTCGGTCTAGTCTACAACTGCGTGAGTTGTAGTTGCGTTCAACAAAATGAGACAGTGACAATGGATAAGATACTAACAATGAAGAAAGATAGAAGAAAGAGGGCATTTCTCCGAGGTGTATCTCTAACAAGCTGTCGCAGCTCACCCACTCACCCCAATGACCGTTAGCCACCGTCTTGCGTTCTCACTTCGGATCAGTCTGATTTCGGCCGTGCACACAAGCAAAACCAGACAATCTTGCATGACACATTAGCCTCTTATGGTACCAAAACGAAAGAAGATGGACTAGAGTCCCTTAGCATAAGCTTGATTGTCCTCTTCCGTAATTGCGTGTCACCTTCTTTATATTACCCAACGTGTTTGTACCTACAGCCACGAACGCGTTCAATGATACTTAACACACATACATCTACCATCCATAGATACGTGCAGTCTTGTGCATATCTTATTGTACACCGGTTTACATCCTTAATGGTCCCGGGTGTTCCGGCCGCCCTTTTGGAAGTGTCTTACACGCGTATCTTTCAACCGAACAACTTCGTGATCCCGAAATTTGTCCGATTCTTTATCGCAAACCCCACGATCAACCGAAACGTCCAATAAAAATAGAACACAACGAACACCGCTCAACAGTGGAGTCACGTACAATACGGTATCTGAGAATGTACACTTATACAATAAATTTCGCATACATACTTGACCGTGATCCTCAGTAGGCGGACCGTACAATGATAGACGAACAAGTGGAATCAAACGAGAATCGAAACCGTTATGTTTTACAGGAATAATAATAAATGGTAAAGATAAACAAGGACCACATTAAAGGAGAGAAAAGAGAATGCACTCGAAATTTATCTGAGTCATTAAATGTTGTTTTCATCATCATCTACGGTGCTCCAGCCGCCGTAACACCAGGACGAGAATGGCAGTACGACGCTGCGTGCTTGGCAGACGCTCTGACTATACTCACGGTATGTCATGAACAGGGTACGCGTATTCCAAATCAAGTCTCAAATGGTCACTACCTAAGGTTCAAGTCTCTCATGTGGTGGAATAGAGAGATCTGGTTTTCCAGGCTTGATCAGTTGGAGGCTGGTGGAAAAGTATTCATGGGACCCTGATCTTAACAACAGTCAAGAAATCATTCGTACTTGATCATAATTCGTCATACACTGCAAGGAGGAACTCAGTGACAAGATTCAGCCTCGGAACAGGGCAACCCTCGGTCGATAGGGATTTGGCTAACTCAGCAAACTCTTTAGCTAGGGGGGAGGGACATTACCCCGTTGGCATTGCGCTCAGGGTCGATATGGTATTTTAACCATCAGATATAGTGTAAAACACGTATCCGTATTTTGGGCAGCATAGCGAATGCTATTGCTCTTCATCCAAATGAAACTTCCCTGTTTGCCGAGATTGTTTGCGACTGAACACAAACATTTACTCCTGCGACCCGTATGATTTAGGGTGCGTCTTACTCTACCGACCTTAGGAGTCGTTGCCACCTATCTCTCTCCCCCAATCTGTAGTTGCTTGCACTTTCCTATATTTAGGGGTAGGCCCCAGGTTTCAGTCCACTGCTGGAGGGTATTCAGGCCAGCATGCACAGTCTCCTCGTGTGGGTTTCCGACTGTCATCGTCGTCGGCTGCGAAGAGGTAACAGAGAGACTTAAACCTGACAGTTCAATCGTTTATAAAAACGATGAATAGTAACGGCCTCAAGACGGAAAAGTGAGGTACTCCGCTGCAGGCATTGGCTAGACGGGAGCATTCACCCTCCACTCTGACGTAAAATTTCGGATGTTTAAGGTAATTCTTCAGCCATCGCACTACTGTTGGTGACACGTTCAGAGCCTTGAGTTTGGTAAGCATTAAACGGTGATTTATGGAGTCAAAGGCTTTCCGGAAATCCAATTAGCAAATTTCTACTGTATCACCCCTGTCAAGTCATGCGGTCACGAGGTAGGACAGCAAGTTGCTGAGACATGACTTACCACCAACAAACCCGTGTTGGGAGGATTGTATGAGGTGCTGCGTGACTAAGTGGTTTGCTAGAGCTTTTCTCATGGATTTCTCCATAACTTTAAGCACCAACGGGAGGAGGCTTACGGGTCAATAATTCTCAACGCTGTCCCGAATACCGCCTTTATGGATCGGTACCACCTCCGCTATCCGCCAGTCGGCGGGTATTTTACCTGTTTCTAGTGATCTGTTAATTAGGTTAGTGAGATGAGGTGACAAAACGTCAGCTAAAGGGGACAGTATTGCAGGATGGATCCCGTCCGGACCTGCGGCTTTTTGCTTATCAAGGCCCTTTAAAATCGCTGCTGTTTCTTCCGTGGATATGGTAGGCTGTTCCATCTGTTCTGTTTGAGAGAGCATAGACTCTCCTGAGAGTATACCGCTACCCTCCGTGTAAACGGTGCTAAAAGAATCCAGTAGAGTTTTGGCTTTCTGGTCAGGTGCAGTTGCATGCTCTCCTGACCAAAGTAGTACATTACCCACAGTTACTCTCATGCTTCCTTTTGACTGAACATAGTTAAAGTAAGCCTTTGAGCATGATTTTGAATTTGACGCTAAAGCCAACTCATATCTCATTTTTTAACTGTTCTGGATGCTAATGGCTGCATCTCCAGCTCGAAGGTACTGGAGATACCTGGCGTGACTTTGTTGGGCAGCGAAGAGCTTCCAAGCAAGACGATTTGTTCTCTGAGCCTTGCTTGCCGCACTTCTCCAACAGGGTGGACTGTCTCTTCGACGCAGTCGCCTCAGTTGGCCGAATTCTTCAGTTAGGGTTAGCAAGTTTCCTCTGATTTTTCCCCATGTTTGATTCAAATCGGTGGCTGGCTTTGCAAGTTCATAGTTGCTGCCCTAGACACTAAAGCGGTTGCATTGACATGCTTGTAAGACCGCCTCCACTTGTCGGGTGTCATTTCTCTATCTATGACATATGGGGAACGGAGCTTTCCGTTGTCTCTTCCACCGAGAGTTGCTGCAATATGCAGGTCCTTGACTTCAGGTGGATACCTCGTCACGAAGACATCCAGCGAGGACGGAATCTGCCCTTCTCTCCAACGCGTTGGTTGGTGGACGTGCTGACAAGGTTCTTTTCGCTGAATACTTCTAGTAGGTGATCTCAGAAAGACGACGACTCATGCATCCATCCGGTGGCTCAGTGAATTTCTGGCGTATTTAGCTCTCCAACTAGTAGTACATTCATGCATGTAGAGAAGGACTGTTTGAAGTAGTCAACGAATCTCGCGTTCTCATCCTCAATTGATGA